ACACGAGGTCGTTTGCATAAGCCCGCTGGATAGCTTTTTCAAAGCAGAAGGGCGGGCTAAAAAGCGGACATAAATCATAACAGCTATTAGTCAAGAGTAGTTTTCTGGTGCGCTGATTCCATTTTTTAAATAATTTTGAACTTTTAGGAAGGCGGATCCAGGTCAAAAATGGGTGGAGTTTTCACAATCTTACTCAAATCACGTGAAAGTTCGGAGGTGTACGGTTTCGCTGATTTTTGCAGGGGTCCGTAACTTAACTTATAAGCGAATTTTAGGTATCCTTATCTCGCAAACGGCTTGCGTTATTTGCGTTATGCATATTTTGACTTACTCTCCTGCGCATTTCTGAAATTTGTCATTATATGCACGCTTTTAACTAGTCAATAACGCGAGATAATGATGTAACGTTATAGCTTCAGTGTTAAGTTACGGACCCCTGGATTTTTGCTGATTTTTTTGCTGAGTTTTACAGGGTTTTTTCGAATTTTTACGATTTTTTCTCCAATTTTACAATATTTTATGATTTTTAAATGGGTTTTTGTTTTGATTGTTTTCTGATTTTTTAGGACTCTGCATGATTTTTTAAGGGATTTTTGACACTTTTTCAATGATTTCGTACAAGGTGCAGTCGGTTAGGCGACCCTATTAGGCCGCGCCACTGCAAAGTCCACCAAAATTCGTTCAAAGACAAGTCTTTTTCTAGCAAGACCGCAAAATACTGCAAAAACCGACTACGGGATCTGGTAAACAAGGTTTCGAACTTCAAGAATCAATAGTCGGTTTCTTTGATTTTTTCGTTACTTACGGCCTTTTAAAGTTGGCCCAAATCGCAATCAGGGAAGGGTTTCACTTTTCACTATTTTGGGGGGGGGTAGGGGGTTAATAATCGACGGCCTGCACCTGGATATGTTTCGTTGTGTTTAGAACAACACGTCAGCAAACGTGTGGGCGGCTGAAGCTATGAACAACGAAAAAAATAACAATATAAGATAGTGAGGTTAGAGCCGTCCATGCTGGCACCGCAAAATAGCTGATTTCAAAATGACATTTTAAGGTGAAGATTTGCAGCTAAAAATACAAACTTATGCGTTTTAAAATCCTCGAACATTGCGCTAAAAAGTCCACTAGTCGTTTTAGCCAAAATCGTAAAAAGAATTATCATAGTTTTGTCCGTTTTTTTTTTAAATTCTAGCCCACTGTGCGGCATGGCTTGCCCGAGAAAAGCTCGCTGGACCTGGCACCCCGCGGGAGTTTCCTGACCTGCACCGGGCCTAAACCGGGTAACCAACCAGGTAGTATTCCCGCGGAAGTTGCCCGACTTGGAGCGGACCCAACCGGGTAACACATCAGGCGCTCCCCGGCAACCCCCCGGCTTCCCCCCGGCCCCGGCTGCTCTAGCTCCACGGCTACCGCCCCGCTCTCCTCCGCCTCCCCCGGGGTCCTCCAGGGTATTTCCTGTAGGTACCCTCACGTCTGTCCCTCGGATGCCGTCTTGTCTTCGGTACACTCTAAATGTAAAGGGACAGTTTTGTCCCTAAAATGTGACGGATTTGTGCACACCCAGAGAGGATGCAATCTCGTTCCTTAAATTGAAAAAAAAAAGTGTTAAGTCTCACACAATTTGTCTAGTTTTAGGAACCAAATTGCATCATTTCTGCATGTGCTTGAATCGGTTCCATTTCTACGAACAAAATTGTCCTTTTACATTAAGAGTGTAGGACAAAACTACTGTTTAGTGCGCCCAAACTTTCGGTCTCTGGACAAAATATTGAGTGCTCAGGTTTATAAATGGTTCTCGATGCGTATGAGCTAAGGTGCATTTTTAGTTATTGTTGCACTTTCTCGAAGTGTAAGTGTCTCGTTCTGGAACAACCATGACCCATTTGGCTGCTGAAAACTTATTTTTGTACCCACTATAGACATTTGTCATGGCTCTAGCGTCTCCCCACTACTGTGAGTCGATATCCACGCAAAAAATACTTTAAAGTGTAAAAATGGCGTTTTTTTAGCCCGCCCTTCTGCTTTTAAAAAAGCATTAAAGCGGGCTTATGCAACCGCTCTCGTGTCTGTCTGTTTGTCTGTCTGTCTGTCCGTCTGTCCGTCGTCCGTGTAAGAGGAAGGAGATGAGCTAGAGGTCTACAAATTTCAGGGTATCTTAGGGGTCACTCCTGGACAACGAAACGCCTGGTGCAAATCCTGGCAACCACCCCTAAGGGGGTGTAGGGGGTAACAAAGAAATAGGGGTTGGTCCAAAAAGTAGAAAATTAAATATTTTTTTATGGTCTCCTAAGGGGTAACTCGTGAAAGTAGAGCCCTCTGGGCGAAAATTTTGTCCGTTTGACTATATCTTGCACCGTAGAGTGCTTTTTTCGACGAAAATACGGCGAAAATGACCACGTTGCACATAAAGACGTACAAGGAGGCGTCCAATCGTAAAATGTCAGAGGAAGTACCCCCCCAAAACA